AGCCTACGTGCCATGAGGTTCTGTGCTTTCGAAGGGCCAATTGGTGGAGATCTTAATAAATCGATGATACTAGAAATCTCTTTTGCCAACCTCATAGACCATTTAAACCTGGAACTTGCAAGCACAGAACACCTCCCAACTATAGTACCAGTTGGCTGTCTGGAAGCTATTCAATAATTCCTATATTTTAGTTCTCCAAAATAATCGCACTCAGGGTAGTCACCAGGATGCTACAATATTCAACCTTCAAGAGAATGGAAGCAGGTACTTTAGAAGGGAGGATTGTAAAGACCCAGAATGTCACAGACCGGTCTTGTTCTTCCAATACTGTCGAAGATAAAGGAAAGACTAATTAATGAACATATAAGAGAATGCATGAATAGCAACAGCATCCTCCATGAAGCCAAACACGTGTTCAGGAAAAGCACGTTCGGTGCGTTCAACCTCCTTACAGCATGGGAAATCCGGACGACCTATCAGGACTATAAGATACCAGTTCATGTATAATTCCTTGACTTCGGAAAAGCCTTTGACACGGTACACCACATACTTCTCGAACTGAAGGCCTCGGCCTGAAAGTAACGTCCAGTCCGTGGCGCGCACATAATGAAAAATCTACGAGTGTAGAATAGATCCAGGAGTCCAGTGGCATAGATAAGTGCACTAATACCGACCTCATCCATAATCCCATATATTAAGTACGCCGAGTCACCCCAGCATCCTATCAGAACGTCATCGCCACGCTCTAGGCAACCCTCTGAAGATTGCACATCAAAGAGTTAGCAATCAGGTACATTCTCTCTAGGAGTTTCCTCCACTTGGAATACTCCCTCAGCCTAATCAACTACGGCCCCATAAATGGCTTCAAAAGGCGACCCGACCAACACGTATCCACCGACGGATTATCATCTCCCTCTTGGACCAGATGTGCCTGATGCATATCTCACAAATTACCATGGTTATCATTATTGCATACCAGTGAGTACTTCCTATGTCTCCCATTACCATCTCCGTTTTCTCTCTTATTTTTCTAATTCCTCCCACCCACACATTACCAAGTAATTAACTTATTTGTTAGTCTAGAAAAAATCGTCTTCTCTAAGCACTCGAATCATCAAATTATTTTCACATTCCAACTGGGCAATCTCCTGACTGGTAGTTTGATAGCTGGTGGTATCCATAGTCTCTATTATCTTAATACAATCGCACTCACTCAAACTGCAAGATATACGCCTGCGACTTTCAAACGGATCAGTAAGAAGGGTTGAGTATGGCTTTGTCAACAGTGCTGTTCAGATGCAAACAGCCTGTTAACCGAGGCCATCTCACTGGTTGATGCTGCAAAGAAGTGTTTTAGCAAGCGTAGTCGGAACACGTCAAACAGCACTCGATCTGTCGACACAAATCGAAATGAAGCAAACTAAGGTTAGTTCGACAGTTGATGACTCACGCCGGTCAAAGAAGGAAAAGCAGTCTCCAAAGGGGTCTGCCTTAAACAAAAGCTCAAGGAAAGTGGGTTCTTCTGTTCCCCGTCTCCCAGATGAGATCCCACAGGAAACGCCTAGAAGCCGCAATCGCAAGGCTCGATCGGTTTCAAGCGGTAAACATAACCTGACCTGTCAGGTCGTCGACAACCCTCCAGGATCCAACACTAGGTTTGACGCAACTTATGTTTCTTCTCCCAGCAACGTTGACGAGTGGGTTTAGGTTGTAAGGAAGAAAAAAGTAGCGATATAAAAGGCAATCCCACCCCCGCGAAAGTAGTCGTAAAATCGAAAGCTGATCATAGCGACAGATCAGCTATTTTTCATAGAATCAAGGAGAGAGGGAGCTCTGAACCTAAAGCTCGTTTTGAGCATGACATTGTGCTGATTAAGCAGCTGCTTAATCAACTCATGCCTCAAAATATCACCGGGGTCACCTTGCTAAAGGTGTACAGAATAGGGAGTCTAGCGGACTTGAAACCAAATCATTCCAGACTGCTTAAAGTAGTATTCAACTCTTCGAACGAACGTGACCTAATTTCACAGAATGTACACAAATTAAAGGGTTCAGGAGTCTTTATACGAGAGGACTTACCGTTGGCAGACCGTGTAAAAAGACGGGAAGCCGAAAAAGAACCATAACTTAGGTTAGACGCTGGCGAAAAGGACCTAAAAATTGTAAATTTTCGGGTTGTAAGGCTTCGACAGAGAATGATGCCGAAGCCACTCTGGGTGAAGCACGAAGCCGCTTAAATAGGCTTCGGATCTGCTACACTAATGCTCGGAGCTTACTTAATAAGCGATCGGAACTAAGTGTACAGATTGACTCTTCAAAGCCAGACATAATCGCAGTTACAGAAACCTGGCTGACACAGGCTATAGATAGTATGGAACTTGATTTCGAGGGTTTTACGTTAGTAAGGGCCGACAGAATACAAAAGCGTAAAAGAGGGGGAGTAGCTCTATTCATTAGGAATGCTATCCCATTTGCCATTATCGACAGTGTATCCCATGAGAGTGGGACGTGTGAATTAGTTAGTCTCCGCTTGAAATGCAACGGACAAGAGCTGCTGATTGGTTTGGTCTATCGCAGTCCAAGCTGTGAGGTAAATGAAGTCCTGCTAAGAAGTCTTAATACTTGGTCACAAAGTGGTCGATGTCTAATCCTATGGGACTTTAATGCACCTATGGTAGACTGGGAAAATCTGCTAACTGAATCGTCAGAAAATTCCTTCGAGCAGGAACTAGTTGATGCGGTTATCACATGTGCTCTAGTGCAAAGCAAATATACCAGATATCATACACTCAGCATCGTTAGTAGATTTGACAATAGACCCAGAGTCCTCAGTTGAAACGGCGTGGGACGCATTTCGAAATTCATACTTAAAAGTCACCACACCCCACATCCCTTGGACTGTACCAAGGGGGCCGAGAAACTCACCACCATGGTTCAGTAGGGAGGTCCGCATCCTTCTCCTTAAGAGATGGAAAATGTGGGATAGATTTAGGTTACTGGGAACTGATGAAACTAAATCGCAGTATAGAAAAGTCCGGAATACCTGTGCCTCGACCCTCCGTAAGTCTAGAAAGTTGTACGGAGAAAAAATTGTTAAGGAATCCATACAATGTCCTAAACGCTTGTATTCTTGTATAAACCAAAGGACAAAGAGAAGAGGAAATATTCCTTCCCTATGGGGAGACAGTACTGCCGCGTCACTAGTGGAGGACGACTTTGGTAAGGCTCAAGTGTTCTCAAACTACTTTAACAATGTATACACTATAGAAGCACCCCTCCCATTAGCGCATACAGATCTCCCCACACATACACTGGATATCGTGACCATTAAAGAACTCGATGTCTTTGGTCTACTAAATAAGCTTGACATAGGTAAATCCACGGGGCCCGATGAATTGCATCCTAGGCTACTGAAAGAATTATCTAGCTTCTTTGCGAACCCTTTAAGTATATGCTTTAACCTATCCGTTACGCAGGGTCGTTTACCCAAAGACTGGAGAAGCGCCATAGTAAGTCCTATCTTCAAAACAGGTACGAAACACAAACCTGAGAATTACCACCCTAACTAGTGTGGTTGTTAAAAGCAGCACGGTTTCAGAATAGGTTACTCTTGTCTCACTAACTTATCAGTGGCTCGTTAGAGCTGGTGCGCTCTTAAGGACCAAAAGTTACCTGTGGACGTAGCCTTCATTGATTTCAGCAAAGCTTTTGACAAGGTTCCGCACAACCGGCTGTTATATAAGTTAAGAAATGTCGGGATTGGAGGCAATCTATTTATGTGGATAAAAGACTTCTTAGTTGGGCGTCAACAAAGAGTTCGGGTGAACTCAAAGTTATCTAGCTGGGAAACTGTGCTTAGTGGAGTGCCCCAGGGTACAGTTTTGGGGCCAGTGCTATTCCTCTTGTATGTAAATGACCTTCCTTGTCTCCTATCATCATCGGTCTTGCTATATGCTGACGATGTCAAGATATGGAGAACGATACGATGTAAGAGTGATAGCTTAGAACTTCAAAATGACCTGAAGAAGTTATCTGAATGGTCTCAAACATGGCAGTTGCCGATAAATACTTCCAAGTGTGTTGTGATGCATATCGGTCATCAAGGTACAGATACATACACGATGAATAACACTGAGCTACCTGTCGTCCAGACATATAATGACTTAGGAGTCATCGTTAGCCAAGACTTAAAGACTACTGCACACTGCCGTGCAATAGCCGCCAAAGGTTTTAGAACGTTATGGTCAATACGTAGGGCTTTTAGTCATGTCGACGCTAAGACGTTTTTGACTTTGTATACAGTGTTCGTACGTCCTAAACTTGAGTACTGCATACAAGCGGCCAGCCCCTGCTTAAAAAAAGACAGTGAGCTTCTGGAAAAGGTTCAGAGAACGGCAACTAAGCTGATTCCCGGAATAGCGAAGCTTCCGTATGAAGCTCGACTGGCCAAGCTGAACCTTTTCCCGTTGTCATATCGCAGAACTAGAGGCGACTTGATTACAGTTTCCAATTGCTTAGTGCCAAATTTGCACCTGATATGCCTTCATTTTTCTTGTCTTCCAAAACAGAGAATTTACGAGGACACTCCAAAAAAGTTCACAAGCCAAGAACAAATTACTTGTCAGCTGACTATCGACTTTCCCATCGAATCATCAACGAGTGGAACTCATTACCTCAGCATATGGTTGAGGCTCCATCCGTCGGCTCTTTCAAAAGAAAGTTGGATCAACTGAGGGACCACCATTGCCAGGACTAACACAGGCTATCAGGCCTCCTGTCCTTTCCAAACTGAAACTGATACAAGTTCACAAATAACGGCCAAACTGACTAGAAGTAGTGCAGTCGAGTGAGTAGGCTACCACTCCTCGGATATAACTAAATACTTGAAACCTTACTGAAGCAAACAGAAGCGAGTGCAAAGAAATCAATCGACTTGTAGAAGCTTGTGACTGAAATATTGGATATCTGTAGACATACCTACTTTTGAATTTTGCGTTACTATGGTTGGTTTCTGTACTAATAGACTTGATACATCCGCATTATCCCCTTATTCTGTTTCACAGATTTAGTAGATCCAGCATCATGCACCAAAAATATTTTCGACTCAAGCATTTTTTATTGCTGGTATCAATTCATCGTCAAACTAGCTTAAGAAGCATGTTAATTTGGTTTACTTTCAAACCTTTCTATGTTGCGCAGTAATATAATTCCGTTATTGAACAATAAGATCCAAAAATTCGTCTGTAGTCTATCACTATTTTTTGCAAAGCAGGCCTTTTTCCGTATAAATTAACTACTTGGCGGTTTTTGGGATAGTTTCATGTGTTTCGTTCATCATTTTCAAAGATACCAGGCTCACAACAAAAAGCTAAATTCATTGGAACTTTGCATTTGTATCGTCAGGTGATGTTTCATAAATGTCATGTGTTCACTTACTAGTGACTTCAGAATATCAGTTCTCTTGTTAGTTTCCGTAGTTTCTCATATTGGCCATCTTCTCATTCGCTATTTGACTATCTGAATTCCTAATATTCTCATTGCTTCTCGTCCTCATTAATCGCTAAGACTATCCCAACAATTCATTATCTCTACGATTATTTATAGTAGTAAACAATATATTGTCTTCTAAGCCAATAAGTTTGTAAAAGGTACCAATAACTATGGTGGCTTTTGTGCACTACGTGGAGTAATAATCTTAAACTTGTTCCCATAATATATTTCTGTAACATTGTAAACTGGATAATCATACTATCACAGGGTAGCTACAGCTGATCCAGTAATATTTATCACCACTGTGTTTTAAGGCATTAAAGATCATCATTATGATCCAGAAGCACTTACGTGTTTATGAAATTCTAACTTAACTATTCGCTTGTTGGCGAGGTTTACATTGCGTATAGTTGACGTGGGTTTTCTTGATATTTTCTGTTGTTTGTTTTAGTTTTTTCTACCGTAAGTTCGACATAACCAGTGGGTAATGTAAAGTTATCAGAAATCAACAATGTTACAAAAAACAGGTTATGTAAAAGCACTTTCATTTATTGTAATCGCGCTTATTTGCTATGAGTAATACCCAACGCACTTGTGATTAAAATAATATTCTAGATCCTACTAAGGAAGTCTGATAAACATATCTATCAAGTCTTGATTATTAGTCATATATCCCTTTATAAGATCACAATATCTCATGATCCAGGTATAGGTTAAAGTAGATCGTACAGTTTCATCTGAATTCAATTTCAAGCAAAAAGATGAAGAAATATAAAGGTTCCGAAAAAACGAACATTGACACTATCCATTAGTAATAAACCAAATCCATGTAGAAATAAAACAAAGTGTAAGGATATACATGCTCTTGTTATGTAGTTTGAGCTATAACTTAAGGTTGTTGATACTTCCCAGTTGCTTAAACATGTATGGAGTGATGTTCGGCTTAACACTGACCACTAAACCATTGCTGTTACTGAGTAATATAGCTGCACTTTCGTGGATTTCTTCCAACAGTCTTAAGAAGTCATGCGCATTAAAGTTCCAGCTATCATCGATTTTAAAAGGACTTAAGCTAACGTATTTCGATTTTTATGGCATTAGTCGTTAATCATTCCTGTTTATACGTTGAATCAATCACCAAAAGTAAATCAACTTGAACTGGGCGTTTAAAGCAGCCTGGTAGAGCGAAATAGATATTTGGCCTCTGTGCTAATTTATCTTCACTGTAATAGTGTGAGGCGTTAGAGCTTTAGTCGGTACATGTTTATGTTAGGTCTTATGTTGTTTCTTTCCCCTTGATGCCCTAATTGTCAATTTGTCTATTTATTAGCTGCAGTTATTAAGCTATTTCATTCCATAAATCATTCTCTCAAAGTACTTTATTACCCACAAATATAATTCCCCGGACTTTCAGGAACATATTGGTGAGCATTCAACTAGCATTTATCATGATACTGTCTCTATCGGTGGTGGTTCATCATTTCCGCAGTTCCCTTCCCAAACACGGGGATGGTCAGATGTGACCGATCCAAATTCCGAGTCACTAGCCGTTGAAATTTCTGGAGCAATGAGTGATAAAGACCGTGTTCTATTCAAGATTCATACAAAGGTGATTATATTTTTATAAATAATGTATTTATTGAATATATATCAGTTGTACTGTCAGGATTTGCATGAATTTATTTATAGCAGTATATCTTATACCGTTGCATAATGCAATCTACATAACTAAGATTTTATCATTTTCTACTCATTTCACAGTAGATTGACATCTGTTTATTTTATATGTAAATAAAATCATCCTGTATTTGCAATGTTAACTGTAACTAGGTCTCATTGGACAACATTCTTGTTACAGTCAATATTTTTGGTGATGGTTTATTCATCAGGTACTTGTGTATGGATCACACTCAAAGTGCGGGGGCTGGTGGTACTAACCGGTTGCTCAAACCGTAGTAGGTCGGGCTGCGTTCGAACTTGGGACTTGCTATTTGGACGTCGGACGTTATAAGTAATCTGATGTTTATAAGCCCATATATAATCGAACTAGCGAGTTGTGCCTTGGAATGATCACTCATGTTTTTGTAGTGTATCAAAGTTCTATTTCAGTTAAAGTTTTTAAGAACGGAAAGAAAAGTATTGAAAGACTTATTCTTAGTCGACTAACAATTTTACTGACTTCTGCTTCATTTTTAAATTCTAGACTACATTGCCTGATTTTAAACAAAATGAATGTGATGTACAACGAATGCATGAAGAATTCGTCTGGCTTCATGATCGTTTAGTTGAAAATGATACATATGCAGGTTTAATTGTAAGTTAATTTTTGCATTAGCCAGGCTTCTCCCATTAGGATTTTTCAAATATTTTAAGTGAATGGTGGAAATATACACTGGTTTATTTTTTGTGGTCAATAAAAATTTAAACAGTTGTATGTCCAAGTAGTACTGGAGCTGATGATTTAAGTCCAACTGTACCACCATAAAAAGAGCAGCACTTTCTACTCCAAACCACCTACGATATTGTCATGTAATTTATTTGATTTTAAAGGATTACAGCTGTGATACTTTTAAAATCTTTAATATCCTACTGACCTATCTTCGTCTCATTGAGATTGTACAGTAAATTTAGCGTAAGCAGTGCTGATGCATTTTGTGGGCTTCTCTGTTCGTCGCATCGCAAATCGAACCTTTGTCTCTTAGGTACTTGTAACTTTTGATATTCTAGCACCTCAGTGGACATTACTGTCAGATTCTGGTATTGATTAAAAAAATGGAAAGAAACAAACAATATGTAACACGATAATCTAATAAGTAACAGCTACATTAATTTGACCCCTTTTTGTATGGCTACACTTTCTAGTTAAAATATTATTAGTAATAATATGTGGGAATTCTCCCACTTTGATGAAATTAGTAGTGATTAAAAATTAATAACAAGTATTTAAAGTTTTTACTATTAACTGTGTTATCAGCATAAATTCCTGGGGAAATTAGTTAATATGAGGTTGTGAATCATAGTTCGATACCAAAGCAAAAAATAGGCTTTTAATTAGATGCTTTAATAAGTACCTAATCTAGAAGGTACCTGAAGGACTCTGATATCAACCTTCTCATTAACCAAGTAGCTTAGTAGCTATACTTTAATCTAAGCTACCTTTGTTATCTACGTTAATAATGCATTTTGAATCCCCAAACTTATAGGCCTTGCAATAGAACCTATCTGACAATTTTCAATTAAATTACCCAAACCACCTTGTTTATGGCTGTTATCAGACAGATTATGTTATCTTTTTTATGTATATCTCCACAGGAGCATATATTTTAAACAAACATATTGGAAGTAACTGATTTTCCAATCCTTCTAATGGTGGTTTTCATGCTGAATTTCTATTATTGTTAACATATGTCAGTGTTTAGGCTTGCTATTATTTTAGGGAAGTTGTCAATGAAACTCTGATTATCAACCAACTGTTGTCCTCATTACTTATTTTGGTTAGTGTTTTCTTTAGCAAGGTTGTTTTTCACGGGATGGGGTTACTGACCTCCTACCCAACCCTCCTCCTTTACCCGGGCTTGGTGCCGGTAGTAAGCCTAGAAGAGCTACAGACGTAGTTTATTTCCTGTTTGGCTCTATGGTAATATATGTCTGTGCTTTTATATCAATCCTTTGAATATTTTTTTGGCAGATTCACCGAATAAAATCGGTTTTACCCCACAATCTGTTACTAACTTATGATAATGTCCTCTAAATATTATGTAATCCTTTACTGTAAGCTGAAGTGAGTTTTTAAGAGAAACCATGCTGAAGCGTTGTCAAGACTTCCCATCTGTGCTAATCTGCCTTTAGTTATGAATTAGACTTCTTAAAGATTTATTTATTATTATTTATTTTAACACATAGACATTGGTACAAGGAGGCACCAAATACATATGCGCCACACAAATCTCATTCGATATGTGAGGGCTGTGATACTGCCTGAGTGTCCAAACCGAAGCAGATGGTTTTCTTAGGGGGCCACTCCCCGAGCCTTCGACCTGAAGGTCTGATCCACAAGGCAGTGGAGCATTGTAAAGACATGCGGTCCCATAGAAGCCGCTGACCAACAATTGGTTCATACGCCATTTGTTCCCTCAGGATACTGGAGCCCATGTGCACCATTGTTTTGGAATCCGGTTAAAGCGCCGGACATTCGCTTTTCGTCCTCTCATTTTCGTAAACAACACTCCCGCCACGAGAAGGCAGTGAGTAGGACTTCCCTGGCAGAGGCTATATACGCTTGGTCATGTGAGAGCATTTGGAGAGGGAAAGCGGACTCTCCTCACTCTCGGCCGTACCAGGGCATTTGGTGGCATTTCTTAAAGAACTGTGTTTTTATGAATGAGTAGTGGAAATTTTCGTCCTATGATTGAAATAAATAGATTTAATTTTACTTCTCTTAAATACTCCAGATTACTGTTATTTATGTAGTTTGATATTTTTGAAACTGATACACCATGGACAACAGAAAGATTGTATCATACAAAATTGTATAACAACATTATAAAAATAATAAAACCAAGAAGCATGCAACAAATGAAAATAATTTGATAGACAATTGCAGTTATACTAGATACTATTATAAAGGGGCAAATATTGAGGGCATTGATGCTGTTAAGATTATCTTAAAGATTATTTCTGTCCATATTTTGTCATATTATGAAATAAAAGGACTGTTATTTTTGTATAAACCCCTTATTATAAACTTGTTAGTTGTATCAACTTATTGTTCCTTAATTATTGTTCTATCACTCATGGCGTGATTGTATATAAAGAATTAGTGGTCTGACAATTCTTGTACATGTATTAGTGAGTGTTTGAGATACATAAATATACCGGATGTGTGAAAGTAGAACAGTAGAAACATGATTACTGTGTTCTATTATCGAACTCAAGATTTGGGGACAGAAGAAGGTTTGCATATCGGTGGACCGATCAAGGTCACGATTATCTCATCAGCTTTCAGCGTTACTAGTGTTAGGCTAGGTGTTTCATTGATCAAGTAAAGTAATTATTCGATAAACGGATTGACATACTTGTGCTCGAGAACAGAAAATCAGGAGTTTGCTTGGTACGTTTGTTTCCCGGGCTATCAATTAAGAAACTGTAGTTTAGTGAACGTCGTAACAGTTATATTCCAAACAGTATTCTTAGCTTTGATCTCCCTGAAGCAGTGCTCAAGTATTGAAAAAACAAGAGATCTGCAATACTGTCTCCACTGGTATCTGATCTGAATTTTATTTGATTGTGTCTCACAAAACTTACTATGATATCGTGATATTTCGTTATACGCGACAGTTCAAGGCTTGTTTTTATGAACAGGTTTTAATTTTTAATTTGATCTATAGAGTGTGTTGATCGGTAGATAGTGATAAGCAATCCTGGTGTATAGTCGACCAATATTATGTGCTCACGAGACCGAATTATCGATCCAAGTCTTTCAAATGAACTGATATTAAACATCAACACAACTGATCAACAGCATAGATTTTCTATCTAGTCAATTACCATAAACTTGCATACAAAATATGAGACAGAAAAATAAACATAAGCGACTTAAGGATACGGGTTTTGTGGGTCATATATATATATATATATATATATATATATATATATATATATCAATGAAATTAAAACTTGATTAACAGGCCTAGTTCTTGTATGGCATATTATATATATCTGGTAGTGTTTCTAAAAAATATTTTTCAGTCATGTTTTAGTGTGGAATAATATTACATATGCTTATGTCCTGCAAACTGATACTTTATCTTTATGTCAGTTCACTGGCCTAATTTGTTAATAGAGCTTGTGGCTCAATGATTAAGACGTTCACAATTTCCAGGTTTGAACTCTGCCCCCATCCCCAACTGCTTCGATTTGGTCAACCGGGTAGTATCGCTATTCCTCACTCACATTTAGAGTATGGCTCAAGTTCCGGTATATGAATCCTTACTCTGATTGGCTAGTAGTTAATAATGTAGTGAACAGAACACTGGTGGGGAAAATCGAATGTACTTAATACAAAATTACAGGACTTTTTAACAAAATCTAACAATCATAAAGTTATTGCTTAATTTGCAAAATGTCCATCAGTTGTCTCAAAATGACTCAGACTTCATTGTTCTTTCATTTTCACACAAATTTCATTCTGTTTCGATTCTTTACTGTTCGATCCTTTTGTCTCTCTGCTGCCAGACCTTTTGTTCACGACTAACATCACACTTGTCAATATAAGTAGCACACACCACAATAATAATAATGATTTATTATTAAATGAACGAAAATTTTTCTTTTTGGTTTCTCTCTGTTTTCAACATAAGGTCCCACCAGTACCACCCAAACCAGATTTCGATGCATCTCGTGCTAAACTACAACGACTGGGTGAAAATGAAGGCAATCTACCCGTAGACGATCTGCGGAAAATGAAAGCTGAATTAGAAGCGTAAGAAGTGTCATTAATATCCGTACTATTTTCCTTTTATAAAATAAAAAAAATAGAATTTGTAGTTTACAACTGATCATTGACAAGGCCCGTCCTAATACTGTCTGAATTTTGATCGATCGAGTTGCGATGTGGCCACTGATCTTTAAGTGACTCAATATCGCTAGCATCGTGATTGAAATTTAAGATGGTGGTTGAAGTTAGTCGACAGGGCACCCTGCTCAAACTACGTTTTGTACTATTTGTCACTAATTGCCAGCAAGGTCTACCTGTTATCTTGAGGAAACTGATACTTCCTGGCTAATATTATTATTATTATTTCAACACATAAATATCGGTACAAGAGGGCACCAAATATATATGCGCCACACCATATTTGTGTGTATGGGCTGTGATACTGCCCGGGTGCCCAGACCGAAGCAGGTGGTTTTCTTAGGGGGCCACTCCCCGAGCCTTTGACCTAAAGGTCTAACCCACAAGGCAGTGGAGCATCGTAAGGAGATGCAATCCCATGGTAGCCGGTGACCAAAGATTGGTTCATACTCCATTTGTTCCCTCAGGACACTGGAGCCCATGTGCACCATTGTTTTGGAATCTGGTTAAAGCGCCGGACATTCGCTTTTCGTCCTCTCATTTTCGTAAACAACACCCCCGCCACGAGAAGGCAATGAGTAGGACTTCCCTGGCAGAGGCTTTATACGCGTGGCCGTGTGAGAGCATTTCGAGAGGGAGGGCGAACCCACCTCACTCTCGGCCATATCAGGGCATTTGGGGGTAGGACTCCTGGCTAATATAATCCCGTCTCACTCAGCCTCGCAGTCAGAGCTATTCGGGCGGCAAGTAACTAATAGCTAACTAAACTGTTTTTAATTTCCATAAATAAATGTTAATTACTGTTGTAGTGCAATCATATATACTGCTCTCTTCATCATTTAACCCATTCACCCATCCAAGAATTGTACAATCAAAACATAAAATAATAATGGTCAGTAAAACACTTACAAAAGTTCCAATGTCTTCCATACTCGGTCCATTATTTATTTATTTATTTAAGCACATCAACATTGATACAAGGAGGCATCAAATAGATATGCGCTACGTTTCATCATTCAATCTGTGTAAGGCCTGGAATGCTGCCCGGACTCCCAAATCGAAGCGGGTGGTTTTCTTACTAAGGCCACACTTCGATCCTTTGACCTAGAGGTTTAATCCACATGACAGTGGAGTAACGTTAGGAAATGCAGTCCCATGGTAGCCGGTGACCAACAGTAGGTTCATACTCCATTTGTTAAATCAGGACCCTGGAGCCCATGTGCACCATTGGTTTGGAGCCAAGGTTTCCCAACTCTTCTAGATGGATCCTCCATATCCACCAATCCGGTTTAAGCTCTGGACATTTGCTTTTCGTTCTCTCACTTTCGTAGACAACACCCCCACCACGAGAAGGAAGTGGGTAGGACTTTCCTGACAGTGACTGTATACGTGTAGCCATGTGAGAACATTTCGAGAGGAAGAGCGAACTCTCCCCACTCTCAGTCGTACCAGGGCATTTGGGGGCAATTGATCCATTATAAGTAGTTAGTCAATAGACGGACCAACATACATGAATTCGCTATTAATAAATCAAGATTTCGTTTTCCTCACGAGCTATTGATTAAAGAAGTGTGCATACTGACATCACATTCATAAGGTGCGCTTTTTCCCACTCGCTAGTTAACACACCCTTATTGCGAAAAATCATATTTGACGCTTTATGGTTTGCAAAATAAGGTTTTCGTTCTTCCACTCTTCGTATTCATTAGATAAACTACATACCTGATAGTCTTTGTTATTTGGATCCATTGGTACTTCTAAATTCGACACAAAATGTATTACAATTCATGTATTCAGTTGTTTTTTCTTGTTCCATACCAATATGATTTGATATAATTTCTCTCCATCAATTTTACAATCTCTATACTAAATCTTGAGAAATATTCTAATTTACATATCGTTAGTTATCATAATAATAGTAATTATTATCGTGTCTGTGATAAACATTTCACGTTATGCTTAAATTTTAGGTAATAATAATAGTTGTATATATTCATGTGCTCACCTACTTTGTTTTGTATGTAATCTAAATAAAAATTTTCTATTATCTAACTTTTATCAACCTATTGTATATTCACCGGTTATGTAAGCACATATGTACTTACATGATATAACGGATGATTCAAAATATATTTCTCTCTCAGGTGTACTTTAATAATGCCTTAATACAATAATGAGACTAGTCACGTTATATCAGATCCAGAATTCTCGACTCAGAATAGAGTCATGGATTAACACTTGATGCTATTTTATTCAACACAGTTACAAGCAGTCGCATTCAGTGAGTTCGAAATACAAATCAAAATCAGAGGAAAGGAAATTACATGTTCAAGTCGGTAGGCCAAGTACCTGCTTGTCCACGCTCAGTGATCAAACATATTTTACTTTCACTAGCACATATCAATATGTTTGCTCACAGTTGTGGTTACCATCTTTTAAATGATTACGTCTGTTTTGGTAGTATGCTGTGTATTCCATTATAAACCAGTAGCTGGCAGTAGTGATACTAACGTACTTCTGTCACCCTTAGTGGAGGAGCATATGTCACCCACTAGCATTCTCCATTGAACTGTCCTGGACAACCCTTTCCACTTGTTTCCATTCGCTATTCATCCTTTTCAAGTCTGCTTCGAATTCTTGACTCAATGTGTCATTTGGTCTTCTTCTTTTCCGTTTCCCTTCACGATTAGGGCTTGCTTCGTGATGCAGTTTGATGATTTCCGAAATATATGTCCTATCCACTTCTATCGTCTTTTTCTAGTTACCTGTTCATCTGAAAAACTGGTTTTCCACTCCCACTGTATGCTGTTGCTGATGGTATCCGATTGACGGACACTGAGTGTCTTGCGTAGACAATCACTGATAAATACTTCTACCTTTTTGATGATGGCAGTAGTAGTTCTCCACGTTTCAGCTTCGTACAATAGAGCTGTCTTGACGTTTGTACTGAAAATTCCGAATTTGATATTGGCCGACAGTTGTTTAGAGTTCCACATGTTCTTCAGTTGTAGGAATGCTACTCCTACTTCGTCAATACGTGCCTTCACATCTGCATCGGATCTTCTTTGTTTATCGACGATGCTGTCCAGATATGTGAAAGTTTCCACCCCTCCTGAGGTTTTTCCATCAAGTGTGATCGGGCAGATGTTCGCTGTATTGTATTTGAGGATCGTGCTTTTTCCTTGTTTATGATGAGGCCTACTGATGCAGAGGCTTCTGCTACACTGGTTGTCTTGACCTGCGTTTGTTCGTGAGTATGGAATAGAAAGGTCAAGTCATAAGGGAAGTCTAAATTGTCTAGTTGCATCCAAGTTGTCGATTGTATTCCGTGCTTCTCCTCAGATGTGAAGGTCTTTATAATCCAGAAAGAGAAAAGGTGAGAGTAAGCAGCCTTGTCTGACTTCGGTCATCACTTGAAATGCGTCTGTCAGCTGACCTCATTGTACAGCTTTGCAATGTAGTTGGTCGTATGATTTCTGGATGATGTTGACGATTTTCCCACCTACTCACATCATAGTGTCGCAAAAGGTTCCATATAGTCCTTCTATCCACACTGTCTAATGCTTTCTCATAGTCAAGAGAGTGGATATATAGTGATCAGTTCCATTCATTTGATCGTTCAACGATGATCCGCAGTGTTGCGATTTGGTTTGTGAACGACCGATCCTTACGGAATTCGGTGTGTTGATGTCGAAGTTGGGCGTCTACTGAGTTTTTCATCCGGTTCAGCAACACTGTTGAAAGCGTTTTCTGGTACTGACAGTAGCGTGATGCCTCTGTGGTTCTCACACTAGCTCAGATCTCCATTCTTTGGAATTTTGATGAGGTGTCCTTCTTTCCAGTCCAGTCCATCGGCATTTGTTCCCCCTCTTTCCAAATCTTCCAGAATAGGACGTGAAACATGTTTTCAGTTGCTTGTATGTCTGACTTCAGTGCTTCAGCTGGTATATTGCCAGGTGCTACTGCTTTCCCACTCCTGATTTGTCTGATGTTCAACCTGATTGTTTTGATCGTTGGTGGAGTGACATCTATGGGAAGGTCTGTATGTGGTGCTTCGATGTGCGGTGGATTTAGTATAGCTAGCCTAATCAAGAGTTCCTCAAAATGTCCCTCCCTTCCCCTCCTCTGCTCTTGAATGCCAATGATTGGCTTGCTTTCTTTGTCGTTATCGGTCTCTCTGGTTTACCATATTTCCCTGCTAGATTCTTCGTTGTGTCATACAGTGGTTTCATATTTCCTTTTCTTGCAGCTTTTCCCGCTGTTGTTGCTAGGTCTTCGACGTATTTCAGTCTGTCAGCTCTAATGTTCTTTTTTACTTGCTTGTTTGCTTCTGTGTTTTCAGCTTGTGCCTTGACTTTCTTTGTTCTTGTTCGACTGTTGTTAATTGCTGTCTTCTTGTTCTTCGTTTCTCGAATCTTGTGTAGGGTTTAGATGTAGATCCATTCCTCATGATGATGCTTCTTGGGGTGCAGAACCTCCTGGCACGTTGAAGTTAGTGCTTCTCTGATCCCTTTCCAGTTGTTTCCGTAGTAGTTCCTTCTTTTAGTCGATCTTGTATGGTTTGGAAGCGGTTATTGGGAGCTATCTTGAATTAGTTGAGTTTGTCGGTATGAGCTTCAGTGATAGTAATATTGAAAACTAGATATCAAAGAAAATGTGTAGTTATTCAATTAATTGCAATCACAAAGTGTATGTTGAATTTGTCATGAAATCGGGAATGAAGTATTAATCAACGGTAAAGGTTTTATAGGTAGATTATATTATGTGTGGTTAATTTATTCTTACATGCATGCTTGCAATGACACACCGTTCGTCCTAGATTAACTGTGATCAGTAGTTAGGGTTATTAGGTGACATCGTTAGAGTGTATGTTTATGTTTTATTGTTTTGGTTCAATTTAACTATATATCAGCCTCCCAATCTATATCAATTATTTTGCCTGTTTCTTGTTTTTGGATGAAGCGAATATCAATATATACTACTAAAAATAAAATACCGATTATCATTCATAGATTGTTGCTTGTTTTCTGTATATAACGTACCTCCGGTATGATGTACACTTCAGCTGTTCAGTACTTTTTGAATTAAATTGAATAACTGAGTTAACACTAGTCATATTTAGCATAAATGATTGGTTATTTTCTATTACTTGAGTCGTATGTTATTACATCCCAAAATGTATGATATTGCTATGATTGTGATATAGAAGAGGAATTATTTTGATCAATTAATCATAACATTGTTCACACTGATGGACAAGTTAACCTCATAAGTGCTAATGATGCTTGTGAGCGGTAATAATATGTGATCGATAGCTTAGTAGGTGACTCAATGGTTAAGACTTTTAATCTTCAGCCATTAAGTTGTATGTTTTAACTCCGTTGTGTCTACTTCGTTTTAGGCAACTGTGTAATATCGGTGTAACTCAAAAACAATTACATTAATCATAAATTCTCACTCACACTTATTAAAAGTGTTTAGCATACGTAGTCTTTGATACTCGTCACTTCTCAATTCAGTTCATCTCTTAACTATATTTTACTATTCTTTTTATAGGGCGTTACAGAGATTGCTGAATTCGATGATTATAATAATTAGTAAAACAGTCCCAAGAGTCCCAATGTCCTCAATACCTCGCCCTGTTATAATATCATCATAGCGTATATTGACATTTACTGCTAATGTTTTGATCGTCAGTTCATAATTCATTTAATTTAGTAAAAAATGTCCCATAGGCTTATATTCTTTTGTTTGCTTATTTGTTTTCAGTGAATACTTAGCTACTTTTAAGAAAACAGTTGCAATGCATGAAGTGTTTTTACAACGACTAGCATCACATCCAACATTTAAACATGATCATGGTTTTCGTGTATTTCTGGAATTCGAAGAAGAATTAAACGTGCGAAATAAGACAAGGAAAGAAAAGGTATTTTCTTTTTTTACAACGTATCTCAGCAACATTATACATATAACTATGAATTTAAAATAGATTTGTTATTTAAGAATGTTTAATGTTGGAGATATTGTGAGGTCTCTGAGTCTAGGTGGTTTAATTGTTAAGTTTTTATTGTCCTACAGAACAACATCATTAGCATGTACTTCAAACTGAAATAGCGACCCATCAGAATTTTACCTTGCCATCGACTTACAGCGTGTCCTGTTGACCTGGGATGTGGTTGGTTATTGCGCATTACTGTATTATCGTTGTTTGTATTTTCGTTTTTTTTGCTTTTTTTCTCTCTATTGACTTGATCTCTGACCTTACAGTTGTTAATCCTTGTGCTTATTGGCTGATAGATGTGGTTGATTTCGATCTGTTTATTGATTGACACTTGATTAGAGTACTAAGTTCTTTTTGTGTTTCTTTACAGCTGAACTTTTGTCCATATGGATTGATATGCGGAAAGCCATACCGTGTCGTTTAATATTTAACTGGTTTTCATGTAGATGTAGACAAAGAGAGCAATCAGTTTGTTCTAGTCTAGCTGTTTGGATCCTTTTAAACGATGTTAGCTTAATAGTAATAGTTGAAAGTAACTTCACTTTCAGTAATTTGGTCATACATTCAAATCCTGTTCCACTTTGTTTAAAACAACCGAATTGTATCATTAGCAGTAACACGAAAAGTATATCTCCAAGGCTAAGTACAGTTTATGTAGTGATTATAGTTTGGTATTTATTAACTGAGTATCTCTCATGTATGGATCCCACTGTCATAATTAGAGTAGATATTCTGACAAAGAAATTTATTTAAACACATCAACATTGATACAAGGAGGCATCAAATAGATATGTGCCACGTTTCATCATTCGATTTGTGTGAGGTATGGAATACTGCCCGGACTCCCAAACCGAAGCGGGTGGTTTTCTTACTAAGGTCACGCTTCGATCCTTTGACCTAGAGGTTTAATCCACAGGACAGTGGAGTAACGTTAGAAGATTTATTTATTATTTATTTATTTGGAAACATGAATATTGGTACAAGAGAGCGCCAATATATATGCGCCACACAAAACAATGAAAATTCGAGAGAATACAAAGAAAGAAAAAAAAGCTAAGGAGCGCAACAAAAAAAAGAGAGAACAATAACGAAGAGATTGGTGTAAGGTAGTGTGCTAGTAATCAGGGAACGCAAAGGTACAATCAGAAGAAATCTTTCAGGTAAGGGAGACACAACCACTTTTTATGAAGAAAGTAAAAGAAGGTTACAGCAGGATCGCCACTGGCTTCTATTCTGAGCCATATCTGATAACGTCTCTAGCCACTGTGTAGCACCATCTCTCGGACCCCAACCAGGGAGTCGTGAAGGACCAACACAAGCCAGTCCTTTGCAGCTTTCTTTCATGCCACGACACCATGTCATGCACTGACCACCTCTCCGCTTCTTCCAACCAGTCCCAGAGTCGGCAAATAATGCACGACGTGGAATTCTCTGGGACGACATTCGGAGAACATGTCCAAGCCACCGAAGTCGGTGTTTCAAGATGGTGACACCAATTGAATTATCATCTCTGTGCCCGAACACACGATGCCGAACCTCTGCATTACTGACATGGTGTTGCCACTGAATGTCAGCAATCCTTCGGAGACAGCGATGATCGAACACAGAGAGTCGTCTAACGTCCTCAACTCGGAGAGGCCAGGTTTCACAAGCATAGAGCAAAACTGCTCTCACCGACGCGTTGTAGATCCGACCTTTTACAGCCAGACTAACATCACGAAGGCGCCAAAGGTGGCCCAGATTGGCATAAGCCGCTCTGGCTTTCACTATTCGTGCATTGATCTCATCACTCACACCCCCACCAGCACTTATGCAGCTACCCAGATACACGAACTTCTCGACTACGTCTATCTGCTCACCATCCAGGGTGAGTACAGGATTAGAATCCTGCCAGTCTTGTAGAAGTACTTTGCACTTCGAAGGTGCAAAGCACATACCATACCTACGGACACTGATTGCCAACTGATTAAGTGCGGATTGCATGCCTTGGGCATTATCGCACAGTAAGACAATATCGTCCGCATACTCAAGGTCGAGAAGTCTTTCTCCAGGCAACAGATCCACACCACCATTACTTACATTCATCAGAGCTGTTTCCAGAATGTCATCGATGGCAAAGTTGAAGAGGAATGGTGAGATTGGGCAACCCTGCCTAACCCCACTGCTCGAATGGAACAATGGAGAGAGGTGGTTGTATGCCCTCACTCTGCCTGAGGTGTTTTTATATAGGGCTTTTAGGATGTTAATAAACTTCTCAGGCACACCCTTCTTCAATAGACAATCCCAGAGAACAGTCCTGTCCAACGAATCGAAGGCAGCCCTGATGTCAAGAAACACTACGATTGTTGGCCTTTGATAAGTATGGCGGTGTTCTAACATTTGGCGGAGGGTGAAGATATGATCAATACATCCTCGACCAGAACGAAACCCAGCCTGCTCCTCGCGAGTCAATCTTTCTCGGGTTTTGAACAACCTACGAAGTATGACGGAAGCCAATAGCTTGGACGCAATCGGAAGTAACTTATCCCCCGATAGTTGTTACAGGAACGACGTGAACCCTTTTTAAAGATAGGGACAACTATCGACTCATTCCATGACGTTGGTACACTCTCTAGTTCCCAAACCTTTGTAAACAACGTCGTCAATTCCTTAGTCAAAAAGTCACCACCATCTTTAAAAAGAGCCGGAGGTAAGTCATCTGGGCCAGGTGATTTGTAACGCTTCAAGAGTTGGAGTTCCTTGCGGACTTCCTCCTCGTTTGGTGGATCAGTCGTCACCGGCCATGGAGGGCAGGACAGTCTGACCGATGTTGCCGGAGCAGCAGGCCAGTTGAACTGCCCTTCGAAAAATTCTGCCCATCGTCCAAGACGTCGATGGATGTTAGTGATTGGCATCCCATCATCCTCGCAGATTGTTTCACTCACACCAGACTTCTTGCTGCCAGTGGCTCGGATGAGCTGGAAGAGCTTCCGGTAGTTACCAGATGCAGCTGCTGCTTCCAGCTCATTAGCACGCATCGACCACCAGGCTTCTCGGTCCTTACGCAAGCTTTGCCCAATTTCCTTACGTAACATCCTTCGTTTATGGTCAAACTCACGGTCACCCGGAGTAGACCGACGGGCTTCAATGAGTTGTAAGGAACCAGAAGAAACCCAGTGCTTAAAAGCGGGACGTTTCGCAAACCCACAACTGACTGTTCCCGCCATTTTCATGGCGTCATGCAATTGCAACCAATGCTCATCTATACTTTTCGGTGGAGTGGTAGCTAGCCTAGAGGCTAGCTCGGTTCGATACTTACTTGCAACAGAAGTTGCAACCAGCTTGCTAACATCAATCCGTTGATGGCGGTCACTTCGTTGTCCACTGAAAAGTAAGGCAAGATTGGCGCAGACCAAGGCATGGTCAGAGTCCAGATAGGTACTCCAAAAGGAGCGGCAGTCTTGTACACAACCACGCCAGCGGTAGCTGATCGCGATGTGATCAATCTGAGTCCAGGCTTGAGATGCAGAGGGAGGACGCCAGGTGGCACATCGGCGATGACTGTGCCGAAAGTTAGTGCTAGCCAGAAACAGGTTGTGGTCTGTGCAAAGTTGCAGTAGACGGTCCCCGTTATCTGACCTGCGACCAACGAGTCCCCATCGGCCACCTAAACGACTCTCTTCTGTGCCTAGACGCCCGACCTGAGCATTCAAGTCTCCGGCTAGTACTACAATATCTGTCGAACGCACTTTCTGGAGAAGAACAGATAACTGGTGGTAAAACTCATCCTTGATTGCATCCGGGCTGCAATCTGTCGGGGCATAGGCGGAGATGACGAAAAGACATCGTTTCTCACGCCGATTTCTTCTCACTTTGATGGAACTTTCTAATCTAACAGCACATAACCGACTGTTAATGGGGATCCAATCGACTAGTGCTGCCTCAGCTCTAGCGCTTAGTGCGACACCAACGCCAGCAAGACCAGACGAAGATGCCACAGGGTCCCCGGATAAGCGCACGTAAAACAAGCTTTTCGAAGCGACAGATGGAGATCGAATTTGTAGTACTTCGCCAGAGTCTTGAATACGGGTCTCGGATAGACAACAACATCGATATTAAGACTTTCCAAAGACATAGCCAGCCCTATCTGTTGTCCGACCTGCATAAATGTGCGAACGTTGAAGGCAGCCAGTTTGAATGGTGCACGTGGTTTCAGAAAAACTGCTTCAGTCCTCGTATTCGGTGGTAACATACAATTTTCAACCGGACAGTGACTCGAGAACGTTTAGATACAGTCGGATTTCCACCAAAGACGAGCCGCTGTATAAGTATAAAAGAGGGTGAATAATGTGGAAAATAATAATGATAATAATAATAATAATGACAATAATAGTAATAATAATAGTATTAATAATGACAATAATTGTAATGATAATAATTTGAATCAATTGATTGTTTTTCAAAGCGAGAAAAGTAGTTTCCATAGACATAGAGTTCATCATTTGTGTGTGGGCTGTGATACTGCCCGGGTGCCCAAACCGAAGCAGGTGGTTATCTTAGGGGGCCACTCCCCGAGCCTTTGACCTAAAGGTCTAACCCACAAGGCAGTGGAGCATCGTAAGGAGATGCAGTCCCATGGTAGCCGGTGACCAACGATTGGTTCATACGCCATTTGTTCCCGCAGGATACTGGAGCCCATGTGCACCATTGTTTTGGAATCCGGTTAAAGCGCCGGACATTCGCTTTTCGTCCTCTCATTTTCGTAAACAACACCCCCGCCACGAGAAGGCAATGAGTAGGACTTCCCTGGCAGAGGCTGTATACGCGCGGCCGTGTGAGAGTATTTCGAGAGGGAGAGCGGACTTACCCCACTCTCGGCCGTACCAGGGCATTCGGGGGCAACGTTAGAAGATGCAGTCCCATGGTAGCCGGTGACCAACAGTAGGTTAATACTCCATTTGTTAAATTAGGACCGTGGAGCGCATGTGCACCGTGTTATGACTTTATGTCCGGCTTTTATCACGTGACTTATCCACCAATCAAAATACGACTTATACAATCTTCGCACTGTGCCAAACCAATGACGTTCGACCGGTATGGGGAGTCTAGCATGCTTATTGGTCCTATGTCCGCCTAACCCGTCCACTTGAGTAGAGAACACCAATACCAGCTTCCACTATGCGATGCGAGTCGAATCGAATCTTTTATTCCAGACATACTGGGTTTATATATCAATCAAACAGACCGCAACGCACCATAAAATAGGAAATAACATTTGTACACAATAAAGCCAAAAAGTGGCTGTGAACGTGGGAGGCAGTAGTCAATAAACTGAACATAGATTACGAACAGTTAATCGTACAGTAATAAATTATAAGTCAAAATGAAGCTTATAATAAGAGGAATATAAATATACATAGTCTAATTATTGAATAGTTATACCATAAGAATGTATAGATAATATTAGTCAACTAATATGTCTCATAAGTTACTCATGATTTAATCTTCGCTCAGATATAACACATCATTGGTTTGGAATCAAGGTTTCCCAGCTCTCCTAGATGGATCCTCCATATCCACCAATCCGGTTTAAGCTCTGGACGTTGGCTTTTCGTTCTCTCACTTTCGTAGACAACACCCCCACCACGAGAAGGAAGTGGATAGGACTTTCCTGACAGTGACTGTATACGTGTGGCCATGTGAGAACATTTCGAGAGGAAGAGCGAACTCTCCCCACTCTCAGTCGTACCAGGGCATTTGGGGGAAATATGTAATAACTCTGTAATGTGTTTAAATTTCAAGTAAACTACAAAGGATTCCATATCAAACAATTCATTGCTTTTATTGCATAAGTGATTTGACCATAGAATTATATTGCTGACCATACACAACTTCAGTTATCTATCGAATATTTGAAACTTTACAATACTACGAGCTTACAACGTCATCTCAGATAGAATACAAAAACTTCCTACCTCATTCCGGTGAGCTCAGATTACCTTGAAGATTATTTATTGTCAAAATCCAGTGGTATTCCATCTTTTTAAAACCCCAACCGATTCGCGACAAGTATTATTATTATTATCCTATTACTGTCGGTTGAGTATCTGCCCCAACCATTTTGTTTTTTCCTTTTTAATTTTTATCAAGATATTACAAATACAAAATTCATTTTAATTATATAAATCATTTTGTTTCTGTATTTGACTTTTTTAGGCTGTTGATTTTTAAAATCTGTCTCAAAATCAGCTGATGAAACTTTATGGTTAAATAATCAACGTGATAATGATGTTTTCTTTCGTGACGAGAAATGCATCTTAGCTGTTTATCATTCAGCTATAAAAGATGCAACGGTAGCAGCGGATCTAGCATCGAAATGTCGTAAAACTAATGCAAATACTTTATTACAAATTGAATTGGCTCTATCTAATTTGATTCCAAAAGAATGCAATATCACTTCTGAAACCGAGTTAGTTGGGTTGTTATTTTTAAAAAAAATAGATTTTGATTGCTTTGTTTTTTGTTGCAATAGATTGTGTTCATTTGTGATTACTTCTCTCTCTCTTCCCACTTCTCCGTGATATCGACTTTTGTTCTGTTTGACTTTTAATTGAAACGAATGCACTAAATATATACACATTTCAAAGAAATATAAGGAAGGAAAGTGTCAATTATTTACAATACAATTTTCACGGTTTAAATCATGAATTGGTCTTAACTAAGCAACCGTCAAAAACTCGGAAGCACTGGACAGCTGTCTCGTCTTGATATAAGACTCCTCACTAGTGCCCATCCACAACGTCATCAGAAGGAATCGAACTGACGACTTTGTATCTCGCGCATGGACGCTTAACCTCCAGACCGTTGAGCCGGTACCAAATGGTTTACATGTCTGATTCTAATCAGTTCACGATTGTACAGCTATCATTCACTGCCTGTTTTGGATAAATGTTTCACGCCCGACCTAGTTGAACTCCATTGGTCACTACAATTGTTAAATCTAGGCTACAGTGGAACTTTAACTAGATATTGTAGTTGTCTTTTAGCTTATTAATATTTTCTAGATTCCATTTAACGGAAAGAAGGCCATCTCATGTGATTCAACTGTCATAGTAGTCTAGGTTTTCGAAATGAGCACCTAATCAATCATATAAGCAGATATGAAAGGTAAGGAAAATTTAAAATTTACTTCCTTATCGGTCTTTCATCCTTTTTCCAACTCTTCAGCCAGACCGAATAATAAATTAGCCTAAAATCATTTTAACAGTGAATAGATTGTCACTTAGTAAACTCAGTGTTCAGCTAGCCCATACTGGGTATTTATTTGCTGTAGTCGTAACGCAGCTCATAAAATAGATCCGCCTATTCTAGAGTTGTATCCACTGTACATCTCTATCTAAATCTTCAGTATATTTTCTTCATATAATTTTAATTCTTCCACTTTACTTATCTCTTTCGACGTATACTTATCATTTTTAGCTTTCCAATCCAATCAATGGTTATTTTGTTATTCTACATTCCTCATTCTGTTAATTTCCTTTCGCTACACTGTTAAAAGTTGTGGCATCTCAGACTGATGTACATTCATGTAATGTACTACATTGATTATGAATGATTAAGTACTTTAGACTACTTGTAAGTAAACACATAACATAAATTATGTGAACTCTTTGTAACGGTCGCTTCGTAACGTCGTTGGATTGCGTGATAACCTTAGTTCCGATAACTGTTAATAAATATTGTAATAAATTTATCCTAAATAGGATGAAAGACGCCTCCCAAATTTCACTGCTGGCCACGTTTAATTTATCCCATGAAAAAACTCCCGACATGGTTATATCGAAGCAATCCTCACAGGACACACATGTCAAATAAAATTAATTAAAATCCATTACAAAAGTATCAACAATGGGATAATCCTAAGAGAAAAAGTACTATTACAAATTGATAAGCAGAGATGGATAGTAACTTGTAGTGGAAACCAAGACTCGCGTTTCGTCCTATTTGGAGCTCGTCAGCCGAATGTACCTGCATCCCAGAATTGGTGTTTTCTCCGGGACTCGAACCCACTACCATTCGCTTCAAACCCCATCGCATTATTCACTTAGCTTCCAAATTGAACTATGTAAACAATTTTTATACTTCAAGATAATTCAGAGTTTTGCTGTTACAGTTCTGGTATACATTTCATTCGTTACTCATAATTGTGTTTGAATTATTTCTTCTCTTCAACAGTTTGACAACTTTGTTATCCAATTTCTTTGAAAGCTTTCAAGTGAGTTAATTCCTTATTTTTGGTATATAATATTTTAATGTGTAAGATGGTAAGTGGTTGTAGAGTTAGTCGACAGGAAATCCTGTTTCACTTACGTTTTGTGCTATTTGGCACTGCTTTTTGGCAAAGTGTACCTGTTATCTTAAAGAAACTTTTAGTGGCACAGAATCTGATTCCAGTTTGATCAGACGAATGATCATTATCAAATGATTGCTATTGGCGGGCTCACCACTTTGATGTCCCTCTATCTGACTCTAGTAATATCATATGATTGATTGAGTAGTTTGAGTTGCTCATCGATTAAGTCGGTCACTTCGTTTATCGGACGCGTAGAATTCGAGATGTTCACCGTTTGCGTAGATTTACGAGGTGAGTTTAGTTCGAAATCGAGCTTACCATTTTAGTGGTGCCGTGATCTCTCCAGTTTGATCGTATGGTCGAAAACTGCATTGTTTATCGATCGACCTGGCTTAGCTCAGTTTATTCGCCGAAAGTGTGGAGCGTAGAAGGTTCTCGATTGCCGTAGTTTTCTTCGTTCGGTTAGCCGACGGCGGGACCACCACTTTAGTGGAGCCCTTCATTTTGACGTCAATTAGATCGTATGACTGATTGAGTATTCCGAGTTGGTTCACTCGTCTTCTTCATTACGCGTCATTTTGTTTTGTTTCGCTTCCCGATCAACGATTGTACGAAATATACTTATTCAAAAATTCATCCTCGTATTTCACTTATTTTATTTCGTTATTAACCAATGTGAGTTAAGTTTATGATTATATACGAGGATTGGCGACATGTATATTTTGATAACAATCCAACTGGAGTCAGATTTTGGGCCACAAAGAACTGATGCTCCCTAGCTTTTTCGTTCCCATATTACCTAGCTTTACAGTCAGAGACGTTACCACTGAGCTGTTCGGGCTATGACTGACCCCGTAGAACTGAGATGTATTTATACTTGATTGATCACTGAATAGTAACGAATGTTACATCTCAAGTTCTCTTTAGTACTAACTGAATTCTATTGATAAAGTTGGAATGTAGTGAATATTAGTCCTAGTGGCTCGACATCGCGTGCATTGTGTTTAGGTGTGGGATGTACGACGATGGTTGGACATAATTAACTGGAAGCAGTGGGCCTAGGTTTCGTGTTATTTAACACTTGTCAGACTAGTGGCCACATTGCAACTTGACTGTCGGTAGAATTTGATCAGCACTGAGAGTGACTTAACATGCATGACATTGGTCACCACTCAATGGTCAATCAGTAGTAAATACTTTTGTGTTTAAATAAAAACTATTTTAACTGTCTCACAAATATTTGTTTAATCGTTTATTCCCAATGCATCCCTCACAAATGTCATATAAAATATACAAAAGCAATTACTTAATATTTATCCACATACTAATGTTTATTCCACTTAAAACGTAATTTTGATTATATATGAAATTTAAGGCTGTCTGTTTTCTTTTTAAAGTTTTTTTTCTAGTTTGCGATCTGAATGTTCCTTTTTTTCTCCCGTCCCTAAAACGAGGTTCAGTGTGTGTGTGTGTGTTGTTTATCACTTACTTGGAGGGGGTAGCATAGTGGTTAAGGCGTTCGGATTTCAACCACTAGGTTGTACGAATTCCCAAGTTCCATTTCACCTACCTCTGCAGTGGTACACTAGCTCTTGTACGTAAACTGTAACTCAAAGCTTATTACACCTATCGGTAGTTAGTAAATGAATCAGATCTATCTAGTATATAACTTACTGATTAACTTGCCGACTGACTGAACATGTTAGTACCGTCACTTTAAATAACAAAATACTTTTTTAAATATAAAAATGAGTTATTATTAGAAAGTTACCTATATTTGTTTTACATTTAGGACTGGAATACATGCTTTTTTCATTTTGCGCTTCTGCTCATAAATGACTACATTCAAATAGACTGTGAATGAAGATGAATGGTTTCTCAGATTGTCCTAAATTTTGTCGAATTTTTCTCCTGTGAAATATAAAAGTATATATACAATCGACTGATCATTCAGTAGTTATCAATGTTATGTTTATCTAGTCCTTTTGTGCTGATTGAATCCTATCGATCATGTTGTAAATCAGTCGCTAGTGTAAGTGACTTGACATAACGTTTATTATGTGTTAGGTGGTTGGAGGTAGTATACAGGAAACCCTGAATCCAGGTTTCATTTTAGTTGGCACTCCTCAACAAGATTCAGGGTTGTCTTCCAACCAATTTATTGATAATGTCTAACGATGAAGCTAGGTGGTTCATGTTCCAGTCTCACAAAGAGCATTAGTCCCCTCAAAGTTATAGATACACCTTGTTGATGTCTGTCAATTAATGCAAAACTTAATTTCAGGGTTTCCTCCCGAATATTTTTAACCACTTAAATTGGCAGTATTGCTATTGCAGTCGATTCCGAGCTATGTTATTCGATTTATTCAACTGTTGGTTATGACCCCAACCAAGCAGTTTACACCTACGTACACGGCTCATCCCATCATTCTTCCTGAAACATCACAAGAAAACAGCGAAGAGATGCGTATTTCGTCCTAAAAATACTCATATTTTTTATGTTTAAAAGTTAAAAGTTAATACTATTTTTTTAGTTTCGGTCAATACGTCATATGTAGACAATATCTGTCACATCAGTCCAAGTTAGCCAGCCATGTGCAGCATAGAACCTGGCACGTACGTTCAACAATCCAAGTTACCATACCACATTTGAACAGCGAGATAAAGTTGTCAAGACACCTGAGTATTAGAATTAGTAACGTTATCAGTACTATTAAGAAAGATTAGATACAGTAAAAGAGCGAAAGATGGAGCGAAAAGGTGTCGTTACTCATTGTAAAAGAAAACAAAGAGTGAATGCATCTACGAACGTTCATGAGCCATGTCATGCAAAGTTTCTAACTATCGGTTACGATAATCATATGGATCCTAACCAGGTACCGGAATTGGGATCTGTACAGTTATATTTTTCTCTAGTAAAAGAAGCAAAGTACTAAATCTTTATCATTAGTTTTTTCTTTCAGTTTTAAATGATTTTACTTTCCAGTTCATAAGGACTGTTCCATGAATTGCGTTTTGTTAAAAACTAATGTCGATTATTAAGGATTATTTATTGATTTTCGACATTACCTTTACGTTTGTTCAATTAAAACCAATCATTTACATAAGTTTCATAAATAACTGTACTGAATTCAGTGTGTATTGAGTTTCTTTTTTTACTCTTCAGAATATAGCCTAGTGCTTTTGTGGAATAAAAATGTTCTTATTTTTCAATATAAAAATGATGCTGAATAAACCAGGTAGATTGATAAGAGGATGGAGCCTATTATGTGTGGTAGGCTAAGCAAATTGATGAATGCATCCCATTCGGACACATTGGTATAGACTATTGCGAATTAGTTTTCATAATTTCCACTTTTTATAGGCACTGTTTTATTCTCACGACTTTATGGTAAATTATTGAGGACTAGGTATAGAACTGGAAGGGACTCCTCTATTCTGAACTAGTATTCACTGTCTATCAAATGAGAAAGAATGGTACTGTCTACAGATTTCATGAATCTTTTTACTAATCAAACAAAATGAGCGTTCGTGACCACACAGGAATATAAGACTCTCCAATCGAAACCTATGTAACAGCCTTGTATCGCCATGTTGAAATAAGTCAGGTTATTATGATTAATTGTTCACTAAAATGACTCATTGAGGGTCTTCAAAAAGTATTTTGTTAATTTCTGCTTAGAGTGTATTGTTTTTGTGAGTTAAGTTTTGTATGTTGTTTCTGAAGCTCATGTAATATTCAACGGTCAGTCATTAGACAAAATTAAAAAAAATAATTAACAGCTGAATGTTTTATTAAATCCGTACACTTTAAAATATAGCTAGATTGATGTAATATAATATCAACGAATTCTTGTCACTTTTTATCTTTATCATGCGAAACTATCACAAAATGGGATCGACTAAATCACATGAATACAGTCATTCAAAATCTATCCGTTCAATCAACAACCATATTTCAATGATAATAATAATAGCAATCAATAAAACGCAGTGAACTAAAAATTTTCTGTTTAGCTAAATTGGTTCTATGAGAAATACATTTATTATCTAAGTTAGGGTCAATTCTCGATCAGAAGCATGTGTTGGGGATGCTAGATCTCCAGAAATCACTTAGTAAACGTTTTATTGTGTAACATTATTTTGAAAATTCGAATTTCTCATTTTCGCATCAAAAACGACCATTTTACTTTCAGATTGAATTTCTCGATCGAAAGGACCTTACATGTCATTAGTTCGTTCCCTCTTTTAATACGCTATTTTTTGACGTATCCTAATGACATTTTTATACTGCATATATGCACTTGAGTTGTGTGCTTGTTCATTCGTGCTTCTGGCTGCTTGTGGGATATACTTTTCCCTTATCTGAATCTGATCCCTCTATAATTTTCTCCAATCCACACTGTCAAATGCTTTCTCATAGTCAAGAGAGTGGATATATAGTGATCAGTTCCATTCATTTGATCGTTCAACGATGATCCGCAGTGTTGCGATTTGGTTTGTGAACGACCGATCCTTACGGAATTCGGTGTGTTGATGTCGAAGTTGGGCGTCTACTGAGTTTTTCATCCGGTTCAGCAACACTGTTGAAAGCGTTTTCTGGTACTGACAGTAGCGTGATGCCTCTGTGGTTCTCACACTAGCTCAGATCTCCATTCTTTGGAATTTTGATGAGGTGTCCTTCTTTCCAGTCCAGTCCATCGGCATTTGTTCCCCCTCTTTCCAAATCTTCCAGAATAGGACGTGAAACATGTTTTCAGTTGCTTGTATGTCTGACTTCAGTGCTTCAGCTGGTATATTGCCAGGTGCTACTGCTTTCCCACTCCTGATTTGTCTGATGTTCAACCTGATTGTTTTGATCGTTGGTGGAGTGACATCTATGGGAAGGTCTGTATGTGGTGCTTCGATGTGCGGTGGATTTAGTATAGCTAGCCTAATCAAGAGTTCCTCAAAATGTCCCTCCCTTCCCCTCCTCTGCTCTTGAATGCCAATGATTGACTTGCGTTGTTTGTGCTTGAACGGTTAGGGCAGATTTTAAATGGTTTAACTTGTTTATTCTGGTTACCAAACCTTCCTCCTCTATCCGTACTTGGGACTGGCAGTAACTCTAGGAGAGCTATAGGAAATTCTAATCAGTAGTTTGTTTTTATCTTGATATTTTTCTCGAAAAATATCAAAAATACTTGCATATAGTTCCATCTTATTTTATGTTAGCCTTTTATTGCTATTTAGTTTTTGGCAGATTATTTTTCGTTTTGTATTCAGTAATTGAGTTGAATGCTTAGTCGTAATCTATGAACGCTCGGTTCATTATTATTATTGATAACGTTATTGCCAGCCACCACGATGTCTCTATACTTTTTTGTTAGTTGTACAGTGAAAGGTCGTAAACGTTTCGTAAACGCGCCTGAATAGGTTATGCGATTATTAGGTATGATAATGTGTTAGAACAAATCAAAATATATAACTTGTTGAAATATCTAGAAGGGGGGGACGAGTATCTCAGATATTCAAACAGGTCGCCATTGGTGATCATAGTGTGATAATATCGTCTGACTGCAACACTTAATGATTGATACAGATTCAAATCCCCTCGGTGATTGTAGATACAGCTTGTTGAAAAATCCCAACTAGCGTGAAACATTAGGCCGATCGTCAATTTCCTCCAATACATTAGAAATCAAAATGCCTAACTATTAATAAATCACTTGGTTTAGAAACTGGATTACGAAATATATCAATAACTTTCGATCGCTGCCATAAACTATACAGGCTCGCGTTAATTATTGTTACCTAACAGTTAATGAGTATTAGCTTCCTTTAACCTTATTATGAGTTAAATGACTAATGTTTGTCTGTGAATTACTGAATCGATAAAACTATTTTATACGCATATTTTAATTTATTGTGAATCAGTTTCAAGTAGTTTCTTGTAATCAATGAACTCATTTACAAGTGTATGAACCACACTCTCATAAAACTACCTGGTTTTTCAAACCAAAATAGATTGAGCAGAAGTCTAACTTCAGATTTAATGTAACTTTTTTAAAAAAAAAACTATTTATATTTACTAGAAAATTCTAGTTCGTTTGAGTTCGGATGAAGATTTAAAATTATCCGATACATTTCGTTACTATGCAATTGATACTGGAGCTGCACGTGACCTACTCTATCGTCGATGTCGTGCATTAGCAGATTATGAAACTGCTAATCGTAATCTTGATAAAGCTCGAGCACGTATGAAAGATGTTCAAACAGCGGAAGATGCACAAACTGCAGCTAATGAACGTTTCAAATCTATTTCAGAATCAGCTAAACTTGGTATGTGTTATATGACATAAATATCATGTGTGCGTATGTTATCACTTGTCCTTATTAATAAAAATATTTTTCCTCTGAGAGTCTAACTGTTATGATTATTGTAAGAATAGTGATGTTTAAATAAGCGTTGATATAATTTATTCAATTTTATCCTACAGTAATATTTTATAAAATAGTTTTGTTAGTAAACGGACTACACCCATTAAGACATTAAATAAGAAAGATTAGTTCAGCGAAGAGTTCTCTTTTCGGCGAATTCATTTTCAAAGCTGTACAATCGCAAATATATATACTTATTTTTACAGGATGATAATATTAATGATAATAAACTTCTGTTATACATGGTGACAGTAAGGTTAAATAAACAAAGGTATTAAAATAATTTTTAAAACAAGGAAAGTTTAATAATCGTTTGGTTGTTAATGTCTTAATTATTCATCGAAAGATAGATAGGGAAATTATCATTGGGAAAGGATGGCTCAGCATGATAAGATAAAATGTTGAAATAGAGGTGAAATGTAATCGGAATGATCGTGGAAATAAAAACAAACCAGTTGGGGGTAGAAGATTTAAGGGGAAGATGGAAGGTGAAGCAGATGGCTGTAAAAGAAACGAGAGTATGAAAAAGAGAGAAAAATTTTAATACATTAAGACCATGCTAGAAGAAGAGGTTGTAGCAGTCTCTATTGCACATACAATCCTGGTTTTTCCAGATGTATGGCTATTGCTTCGGCAATGCAAAGAAGATACAGTCTAATTGTCTTCGGAAGACTTCTATTTACCTTGTAGATGACTTTGAACGCAGAGTCTGTCTTGATTGAGTGACCTGTGTTCACAGGGTGTTCGATTATAGAATTTCTTATTGAGCCGTTGTTCACTTTTCTCAACTCTAAACATATACCAAATGTATACAATTTCTTAGTTGTGTTGCGTTCTCTGAACTGTTTGGTAATTTAATTATGATAAATATGACACACTTTACGATCTTATCTGGTATAGTTAGCGTTATTCAGTCAGTCATAAGCAACTTAGGATCTGGCATATACGTACATCGGTTCAAGGGAAAACAATAAGTGGACGCACCTGTGCTATTGTCAACGATTCTGGGCCATCTCACTTCAAGTCTGACACGTAGATGGAAATTTTGACCAGATGTACAAATGAGTCCTACAAGATTTAACCTTTTGTTTGACCTTTAAATGGAATATGTGCAGAGGCACCCGATATTTCTGGATGGGGTTAGTCTTATGATATATGCCCACATTCCTAGTACTAAGTCTTAATTTGATGATTATTGCCTGAATTGCTTTACGAGTAGTTTATTTTGCGACATCAATCTCATCTGATTTTGTTTTGGTCTGCCTTAATAATGTGGTAATTTGAAGTGTATGCATCAAATTTTGGTAAAAATCATTGTATGCAATCAGGATCAAGTATGCAACTTATAGGTCCTCGTGCAAAATTCATATACCACCTATGACGAGCAGTAAAAATCTTTTAATACTTTTCGAAACGTTAAAAGAGATAGTGAAGAATTGATTTTTACAACCATACAGTGTTAAAAGTATCGAATACTCAATTCTGTTCTTTGTAGTTTATTATAGCTGGTAAATCGACATTATCCTCTAATCCCAACCGTAAACGCTTAATACTTGAACTAATCGTAGTCTTGGGGCACTACATTTTATGTATGACATTTGAAATCATGAACCGATCAATGTTAGACCATCATCGAGTCCCTCGTGTGGGATCATAGATACACACCGCCGAGGAGCCCTATACAGTTCTTCCAGGTTTTAATTGGTGGTCTAACATTGATCAATTCATGATTTCAGCGAAATTCAATGATCTCCACAACCCGAAATTGAATATTTTGTAAATGAATTAATCACTCAACGCCTCTGTGCATTTTTGTATTTCTGTGATAAGGACTCCAACACTTAATCCTTTAGTGCCTACCACAAGTGCCTAATTCTAACCAAGAACTTTGTGAGTACTCGAAAAGACCTATTTGGATCCTGATAAGGACAATCTATATCTATAAGGACATATTAATGTTTTGTTCTTTCTTCAATTTACAGACAGAGTAACCTGTAGAAGACTTTAAAAGATTCATTAACTATTTAAAATTTGTTTACACTTTGTAATATTATTGTTTTCTTTGCCAAAACTATCCCGACCGTTGTTGCTATATTGATGTGGTGGTCGGGCTTGCCTATCGTGATGAAACAATAGAGCTATACTGGCTGGAACAATTGTTCCTCAAGGCCCTGCCATGCCGGACAGGTCAGTTGAAGAGCGGTAAGACTAAAAGCAGCAAACCCAAGGTCCGAAGGCGAAGTCGTACTGCTGACTACAGAGGTGTGACGGCAGAAAAGTGTTTCCTTCAGACAACCAGCATAACAGCGATGTTGCCTTTCCACATGGAGGGACGGGGTTGGAAGCGGTCGACCCTAAGAATGCACACCTCGCCTTATCCCACGAATATCTGTCTCCGGCGGAAAGTTTCAACAAGTACGGAGGTAACGTGAAAACTACTCACAAACCGGTCGTGTTTGATCGACCTCAAGCAGTCATTCCTTGAGCACTCACGCTCACTAACATCACATCTAACTCGATTTCCTTTTCAGGTCCCTCCAGAAAAACCCTTCCACGGTGTGGGCAACCGGAATGTGATAACCGCCCTTATTACCTCTAACAGCACTCAAGACCACCGACTATCCATTTATAAAGGGTGTTTTTTGATTGGCTATCAACTGGGTGAAAATTAGTCACGATTGTTTTAAGTTTGTACCTAGATCATACTGTTTCATTCATACTTCGAAAACAGCTTCCGTGTTCGTTTTAATTTTAAAACACTCTATTTCTATTGTAATCCTATCTGTATTATTTTATTTCCTTGTAATAAATTCACTACCTACTCAAGATAATATAATGTACAATTTTATTTATATTTTTTACAGAATTAGAAGATTTCAAAGTTCGTCGAATTAAATATTTCCATAAAAATTTAGTTGATCTCGCTGAATTAGAAGTCAAACATGCTAAGGTGAGTAAATGTATGTTTTAACTTGAAAAGTCTGTTACAATTAATATAGTATCTGGCTAAAATATCTGTTAACCAAAGCTATCATACTTAGATTGATTTTGTTACAATTTGCGATGATTAACAACTAATCAATAGGCAAAACAATGATTTATCTTGAAACCTGTCATCAATTACTTATTAGCTGTGTAGAAAAAATTTTGCACACACACATTATTTGACATTTTAACTACAAAGTTTATTCATTAAATAAGAAAGATTAGTTCAGCAAAGAGTCATAAGTGTTCAATCAAACGATCATTAAACTTTCCTTGTTTTAAATTTTTTTAATACCTTTGTTTATTTAACCTCACTATCACCATGCATAACAGAAGTTTATTATCAGTATTATTATCATCCTGTAAAAATAAGTATATGTATATTTACGATTGTACAGCTTCGAAAATGAATTCGCCGAAAAGAGAACTCTTCGCTGAACTAATCTTTCTTATTTAATGTCTTAATTGGTGTATTCCGTTTATTAAAGTTTATTCAGTTGTAGTATACTAATTAGTGACTTGTAAACGAGACCATAATCATCTTCAAGGTTCATTTCTAGATCTTAATTTAATATATTACTAATTTAAGATCATCGCATTTCCAAACAAGTAAAAAAGTTTACACATGATTAGAATGATGAAGTCGAAATTTAAAAAAAAAACATAACCGATCATAGGTATCAATGCGCATATATATATTTGGTGCCCCCTTGTACCAATATTTATGTGTTCAAATAAATAAATAATCAATGCAAGTGTTGAACTTATTAGTTACAAATAGATTAAGCATTGGGTAGAAAGTTAATAATAAATAAATATTTTGTTGTATCCTAATGAGCAGAAAAGTTATATCTTGACGTTTCGTGACTCAATGTAAATCACTTCTTCAGAGTTATTAAATAACCAAATTAAATTAAACCAAGTTTAAATAGTACAAAGGAAACACTATAGAATGTTTTTGGTACAATCAATATCATAATAAGTTTGAATATGCCAATGTCAGGCTATTCTTGATCAAGGTGAATTTGTATAACCTGTCTCTGTATTATTATTATTATTATTATTATTATTATTAGCTTTATTCAATATTATATTTTTGGTACAATATAGAATTCTCAGCGCAAAGTATTTCAACAGGTTTCCGTTTCTTTGTTCCTGGTCGGTCCTGGAGATAAATATTGAGTGATCGCCAGTTAGATGTTAACAGTCCAGTAAATGAACATCTGAATAATGTACTTTTTTTTCGTTGTATATTGCCAGCAACCACATTCTCTCATTGAGCTTTTTGTAACTTTGACAACGAAAGGTTGTACACTTTTTAGAAACGCAGCAGAATTGGTTATGCGATTAATAGACATAATGATATATTAAAACAAACAAAAATAGATAACTTGTTGAAATATTTAGATGGCAGGAACAGGTAGCCCAGACGCTCAAGCAGGCCGCCTTAGATGAAACTTTAATTTGTGCGTCGGAATGTGGGTATGAAAAATGTATGCATTTGTAATCTGATGTAGTGGGGTTGAGATTGTGTGTGTGTGTGTGTGGTTGGAAAATAAATAAGGTCAAATGTGGTTGTTTTATAAACAGTCGAGGTTGGATGAATATTCTGGCCTTGTTTGCTATTGAAGGAAGAGGGCTTTATCATTATATAAAACTCTTTGGCTACTATCCTCTTTTTATAATTGGAAAAGCCTTTCTGAATTATTTTGATAGTTTTGATATCCGTTTGGTAATTATAGAAAACATCATGTACTGCTATTGCTGATTTAACCTGTAAATCTTATTGAGTCTTTTGGTGAAACTTGAGTATTCCTTGGCACGAGTTGCAATCTCACGGGAGGACTCCAACGTAGAAGGCATCACAATGGACATAACCTAATCTGTAAACAAAATTTCGTGTGGAAGTGAACGTGGTCGTAGCTTTTATTCTAACTAAAGCATTTCTTAGAGTGTTAGTTGTCTTATAGAAAGCTTTAATTTTGTACTTTTTCAATAACCGTTGTAATTCTTTTGTCGTACCTTGATACACAAATTAATTCAGTGACAGTTCATAAAAATTCACCTTGATCAAGAATAACTTGACATCGACATATTTAGACTTATTACGATATGGATTGTACTAAAAATATTCTGTAGTGTTTCGTTTGTACTATTTAAACTTGGTTTAATTTAATTTGGTCATTTAATAACTCTGAAGAAGTGGTTTACATTGAGTCACGAAACGTCAGAAATACAACTTTTCTACCCATCAGGGTATAACGGATGAATAAATTTATTAATGACCGATTATGTCGTGACGAGAAAATAATAAGGACTCTCAATAAGAATTGACTTTTTATGTTTTTCTTATTTGTTTACGATATGATCACTGTCAACTAAGTGTGCCAAGAATGGAGTATGTATTGTTTTCCAAACCTATCTGAGAAATGTTCACTTATTTGTTGGTCAAGTTGCTTATTGTGTTGTATATAAATACCAAAGTGACGAACTCAAGTAATTTATCTTTTGTTTGAGTAAGCATCACTAATCGACCAGAAAAGATTAGCTACGTTAAATGTCATTTTAACTTTCCTAGCTAATCTATTCTGTCTTACTAACAGAGCACTAAGAATCTACTCAGATTATGCCATAAGAAAGAGATTTTATTATTTAATAACATGGTGATGGATTTTGGCTACCTTCAATGAACCACATGTATACATGGAAAAAGAATATTGGAGATATTTTTAAATCTACAATTCAACAAGGATGTAGCTAGTGTTGTCGTTTATGGTAGATTAACGAGGGCAATTAAAAAGAACATTTTATTCGTAGTTAATCTTACATCTGAATTTTCTAATCGACTTGTTATATGTACTCAAACAAAGGATAAATTACTGGAGTTTGTCTCCGATGTTTATCTACAAATTCAGTTGCTTCTGTAGAGATAACTTTATGTTGGATTTACTACCAGAAAGTTCAACCAATAAATGAATGAACATCTCTCAGTTTGAATTCAGTTCGGGATTACTTGGATTATGCCGTAAATATTTCGACTACAATTTGATCATCTTGGGTTGGGATATGAGCTTCCTGTGCAGATGACCTCGATATATAGCCATTATGACACAAGTTAACATGGATGCGCATATATCCAACTGACGAGTTTCAGACAGGGAAAAAATGCGCGTCCTGGATTTCATTGTTAGCCACCATATATATCAGTTCGGTCTTCATGTTTTCATCAATTCAAAATTCACTTGTATAACTGATCCAGTAAATTTTGATTTCCTTCGTGATTCAGTTAATTTGTTCCTGATCCTGTTGTCTTACCTTTTCAATGCTTTCTTCACTAGTAAATGTCAACATATTAGACATAACCTATGAAACAGTTTAATGTTACTTCTGTTTAAGTAGTACTGTTTTTTTTTTACAAAAATGTATTGACAGCAGTTGTGACATTTCACAATTACATGAACTACAATTAGTCAAAACAGCTCAGCTACATTTATCCTTTGTTTTTCTCTAAGTCTTAAGATTCAATATTTATTGCACGCTACTTTTCCCACAAATTCATTTATTACTTTTTTGGATCATATTCTTTATGTTCTTTCTCAGTATCGTTTTTGATATGATCGATGAATTAAAATATCTCCTCTCTCTACGGTACAGCTACGCTAATACAATAATTTATTTTATTTATTTATTTAAATACATAAAGATTAGTACAAAGAGGCACCAAATATATATGCGCCACACTTCATCATTGGTGTTATGTGAGGTCTGGAGTACTGTCCGGACGCCCAAATTGAAACAGGTGGTTTTCTTGGGTGACCACACCCCGATCCTTTTACCTAGAGGTCTAATCCACAAGGCAGTGGAGCAACATCAGGAGATGAAGTCCTTGGCATCCAGTAACCGGTGTTCAGAATAGTCTAGTTGATCGAGTTTATAATACCTCTAGATTGGATACTCAAACGATACACAATAAAGAGACTAGATAACGTTAGATCAAATATACGATTCACAACTGAAAATAGAGAACCAGAATAACACTAGACAATACTTAATTCCATACAATTACAAGCAGCCACTTTTAGTGAGTCCGAAATAGAAATCAATAAAAAGATAGTAAATCACATATTTAATAGTCAGTAAGTTGAGTGCGCCTATTTGTTTAGATTCAGCGACCAACTAAATTTATTTTCAATACTATACATTATACTTTTTTGGTCATTTCATTTCACTGTATTAGTATGGTATAACAAGCACATGAGTTGATACAAATTTATATTCGACTAAGAAGCTTAAATTTGGCAGTCAATATCTATTCCACGCTCCTGATTTTCATTGATTTCTTCAGTTAATGATGTGACTTAACTTTAAATTTCACTATCATCATGTTAATAATTTGTATGAAATGGTGACTCAATGTTTAAGTCTTTTAAATTCTAACCTACTAACTCTAAAGCTTCAAACTTTGGTTCACTTACCGTATGGTCTGAACAGTTACAGGTAATTGTTACTAGTCTTTGTACCAAAAATGTAGTATAGACTAAAACCAAGTACATAAACTTGTATGTGACATATGAATTAGTTAATCCAAGAAAAATAAATTTTATTTACAAATTCATGTTTTTTTTAAAAAAAAATGTTCATATATAAGCCATTGTTCTATTGTTCACTTTTCAGTCCCAGATAGAATTAATAAAATCTTCATTAATGCGATTAAAACTAATCAATATACCTGTATGAAATCACCTACGATTACCATGGAATCTACCGTTTGTACCAAAAGTAACACCTCAATCACCACTACCACTACTTTTACTAGTAATAGTGCCCATTCCAATTCACAAACAAATAACAACATTACCACATTTAACTCGTCAAAATAATCACTTGTGTTTTTGATTTGAAATGTATGGGGGATAAAAGACAATTCTCTCAATCCTTTTTTTTTCCCTAAATATTCTACCGCATTCAACACAGCCTTATCCCACTGATGACGATGATGATGGTCAGTTAAATATTATATGTTTTTCTGTGTGTAAATTATTATAGACTTCATTGATTTCTATTTTCCTACTATATTATTATTTCTCCAATTCCATGTGTTCGGGTTTGTGTTTAGTTTGTACTTTTCTACTACTATTTCCGTCAAATTCTTCTATATATCCATCCACCCACTGTACTACTACTACTTGCTGTGAACGGAATTATCAAATATGATTCTTATTTTCTGATCTTAACATCCAATCCTATAATGTAAGAATGTCAAAATCAATTAACTTCACTGTTAACAAGTTTTTTGAATTCAACTGTAAGCGTTGAAGACGACAACTCTTCCAAATGTCTTCTGTGTTACTGTATCATCGTAGGTTTGTGTGTGTCCGTGTTTGTGTATGTATGTGCTATTGGCTTTCTTGTTTGATTAATATACAATTCATATTCTAATTAAATTTACCAATCATACCAACTTCTTCCTCCTTCATATTACTACATTCTGTGATCAAAATGAAAAACTCGAAATGATTATCTTATACTGATGAACTCGTTTATTATATGAAGCGAAAACAAAACGACATATTATCTCTATTATTAGTGGGAATAAATTGAACCCCAACCTCATGTCACGCACACTCACTTTTATTTCCTAGGTGTAAAATTACCATTCACTATTATCTTATTCTTTAATTCATTTATATGTATACTTGGTTTATTTGGTTTTCACTTTATAATCTTATTTTTTACTTTTGCTTGTTTGTGTTATTTTCGTTGAAAAATTGTCCATTGAAATTATTTTTTATCAAGGTGTTCTTACTATTTGATCATTCATGTGTCGAGTATTTTGTATAATTCTAATAAAATATATATGCGCTGCACTTCGTTTCGTCATTGGATTTGTGTGAGGTCTGGAGTATATGTATATATGATAATGATTTAGTCATGAGTCAACATTACTTGAAGTACGCTTAGGAAATAGAAAGGACTGATCAAAAATGTTTCTTTTAAAATAAAACTCTTTGGGAGTATACATTCATTTTTCTGTCTGGAATCAAACTCAGAACCCATGGGTCTTTCAGTTATCTCATTATAAGCTATCGTGAATTGGAATTCAATGGTCTGTTGCTCCTAATTTCAATCAGTTTGTTCATATTTTGCTACTACCTGTTAAACGCTCTTTAACATAAAAGAAAGGATTAAGTGAATATTTAAGATGAGACAAACTAATAATTATTTCGGAATGATAACTGTTTTTTATCTTGTCAAAACTACCCGATGTATGAAGATCTATTAACTATGGTTGTAAGTACGATAAGAAACAAGAGTAGCTTGAAGACAAACTTTACACATTAATGATACTATATCGTGTAATTGAAGTCGTTGGCAGCGAATAAATCGCTACTTTGATTTATTACGGAAACTGAACTAGAGCAAACGACTAGTTTTTAATTTACTTCTGGAACTGCATAGGTCACTGATGAACTGTCAAAATAAGATGGATGAAGTTCGGATAGTTTTTAGCTATTTATTTGTTCAACTAGGTAAAATACTAACACCAGTGTTTCTGCTACAGTCGAGCAAAACACGTACTTCTACATGCTTCACTGCGTAATAAGTGAACAGAGTTGAGTAGTTATTGGTTGGTTTATTAACTTGTAGGTACACTAATTTGGCTACATATTTCGCTTATATATGGCTAGTAGTTCAGTTCTCCGAGATCTATCTGGGTCGGGATTTATCATTTCGAATTTCCGAGCGTAAACCACTGTATTACTATTGATAAGAGATTTAGAAAAATTCGCTAATTGAGAAAAACAAATCAGTGTAGAATGGCATATCTCTAGACCAACTGATATCAGTTGAATAAAAGATCGTTCCCGTTACAAACTTCATTTGTCACTGCAAAGTTCATTAGACATTGTGTTCCGAAACCTGACAAAGAACGAATATTTAACCGGTACATCCAAGTCTGTATTTGAAACCAAACTAGTTATGAGTTGGATCCTAAGTTTCTAAATTCCTTTTATTTTTTATATCCGACTTAGTTCTATTTTCTTGAAACGTATATTCAATGGCTAAACTTTTCTATGAGCATTAATACTGTTACTATCTCTTCTACGGCGGCATCTGTCCTAATAATTTCATGTCTCTACGCTAAAGGGGTTTGTCCACTTGAACTGATGTACACATGTTCTACTTTTCGTTTGACTATTGGATGATATTTTCAGCATATATATATATATATATATATATATATATATATATATATATATATATATACGCATGAACAATTGCAGGTGAAGAAACCAGTGTAGCAGCAACCTCTGTAGCAGTAAACCTCAACATACACACGGGAAAACCAAGATCCGCAAATACAACACGGAGAGCACCAGCCGAATTACACTTGATTGAAAAACTCTGGAAGAGGTAGAAATTTTCACGTACCTAGGCAGGATTATCGATGAACATAGAGTATCTGATGCAGATAAAAAAATGCAAGGACCGCGTTCCTGCAGTTACAGAACATATGGCGCTCAAAACTACTGTCAGGTAGTATCGAAATGAGAATCTTCAATACGAATATCAAGACAGGTCTATTCTATGGAGCTGAAACTTGGAGAACTACTACCGCCATCATCAAGAAGGTAATAGTATTTATAAACAATTGTCCGTTGACCGGATAGAAAAAATGTTAACAGCTTAAAACGAAATTATTCATTTGACTAAACTGAGAATAACAAATTTAGCAGAATGAAATGAAATCAAAATGTTTGATTACCAATAAAAGTTTATTAGTATGATAAAAATCGAGTAAAGGAAATGGAATATGCTAAGATATAAAATAACAGTATTTTTCTAGCTTAACATTAAAGTTGGTGAAACAGCCAACATGATTCATTTTAGACTAAGTACCGAATTGAGAAGTACGTATTCACCTGCTTAACTAGTTGCATTGTATGAAACAGGTTTTTCATAGAAACAAAGAAAAGTAGACAAATTTCCACTATATTCAATGTCAGATCACTTACACTATAAGAGCAAAACGGGTTCTGATCTTGGAGCCCATCCAACGTATTTCCAACAGTTTCATTACCCGTCATCTACTTCATAGTGAACACAATGTTGATATTTTAAAAGCATTCAAAACAATTAATACCCAAATAGCTAACTACATTACCCTGAGGCTAAGTCAACTAAAAAGTTGAAACCATAACTTTGTATTCAAAACGATACAGTTATAGATCTCTCATTACCATAGTAACTTCTAATTTTCATCATTCAGTTACGTAACATCTTTTTGTTTATCCTCAATAACCAATTCCTTCCTTTTATTCTTATATCATTCTTTATATTTACTTATCTTTATTAATTTATCAAGACTTCATGTTGTTATTACGTAACTTTAAAATCAATTTTTATTTTCTACAAGTGTGTCTCCATGTATTTAAAAGAAATTTCTCTTCTAGAATTTCCATATACAGTAGAATGTAAATATTCATTCAATTTACCATTTAATTATTCTTCCGTCTTAGCATTTATTTCCAGTGAACTTCTTCATATATTTTTTAACAAGTACCTGTTACGTTCCTTAGGTGAATTGTGGCTATTGAACTCGTGTTTTGTCCTATTTTAAACTCGTCAACATTGGAATGTAAATAAACTAAGGTGTTGATTTTCGCATTGAATAAACAATAAGAGAATTCAAACCCATATTATGAGTGATATTGGTGATAGACTAGTTTCCTTTCCTGCTATTCTTGCATAATCCTAATTTTATACTATTTTTCTTAACATATTAATCCTTGTCATACTTTTCTCCATTAATAAATTACAAGTTAATTAAAATTTGTTACTTAACTTTGTATTGAAATCATCCTTCTTACATACCTATTGGGATCGATAAATTGTGTTGCATTGTCGTTTTACATTTTACGAATGCATAACATACGACCATTCACCTGAACTAATGTTTTGATTCAGGATTAAGAAACGTGGGATTTCACGTTTCATATTAACCGCATCAATGAATGGATTGGTGAAACTAACGAATCTCATTGTTTGTAGAATGGGTAAGAATACAAAAGTAATGTAACATTATCTTTACTGAATGTTATTGGTAAGTTGTGTCTTCATTGGATTGATCGCATCACAGCCTCTTACTAGGACTTCGAGAATTACTTATTAACAAGTACTTGGCGTTCTTCTGTATAATCGGTAAAATGACCTCTTATCTAGTAGTCATTTATTGATATTGACAGTAATAAGTACATAATAAGTCATCTAGTACTTTTGCTTTAATTTTGAAGTACGAGCTGTATTTATTTAAAAAAACTAATTGATAATCTTAATATCATCTGCCGAATTAGTTTTACAAAATTCGTCTGAGAGCTCTCTAAAAAGTAACACATCCAAATCTTTTGACAAAAAACTAATGAAATACCTGGTGAAAGACTGAATATATGGAGAATTCCGTGAATCTCTAGAGTAAAACACATTTACTCTCTCTTGGATTTAAATTTGATATCCCGAATAAATTTGTCAACAAGATTGATATACTAACGTAATTCGAAAGCCTGTACTAACAAATAACCGACTTGAAACCTATGAATGCAGGCAGAATAGGCTGGTTTATATACAAACTGGTTAAATCAATGTTGTATTTCGGTAACTTACATTCAAAAATATTAACTAAGGAACATGTGCCAGCATTGAAAAATTGGCAAAAGAATAATAAGACAAATAAAGAT